CTGGGCTCCCGCGCTCAGGTCGCCAGGCGCGTCGCGGGGCCCTCGCAGGGGGAACAGGAGTGGGCTGGTGCCCCTACCGCGCCCGCGTACTGACTTGCTGCTGCTTCCTGGGTCGGCCGCGTCCCCTCTTCTGAGGCGCCGGGGCGGCAGGTTGTCCCTGGGCTGAAGTGGACGGCTGCCCGGCGCCTTCGCCGCGTGCGCTCATCCTGCCTCCCGCCGCCGCTACCGCTGCCGCCGCTGCTACCGCCGCTGCAGCCGCTTCGCCTCAGCTGCCCCGAATCTGCCCAGCACCTTTCGCGAGACTGGGTGATGGGGCTGGAGAAGCAGGCAGGGCGAGCGAAAGCTGGCGTGCTGCGAGGGCTGCTGTTGCTTAGGCGGCCGCCGCTGCCACCATCAACACCGGACGTCCAGCGGCTGCCAAAAAGAGAGAAGAGGGGAGGAGGAGGAGGAGAGAAGGAGGCGCTGCCGGTGGCGGCGGCAGCGGTGGGTGGGTGCCGGAGGTGGAGGTGGCGGTGGAGGTGGAGGTGGCGAGAGGAGGAGGGAAGCGAAAGAGAAGGAAAAGAGGGTTTCAAGTTGGAGAGGCTCCTTTCTCGGATTGGGATCAGGAGTTGCGGGCACCAGGAGCACTTCGGAAGCGGCTTGGAAAGGGCAGGGACTTGGAGTGAATTGTGTCCCTTGAAATGTTAGGCGGGGAAAGAATTCCTCCTCCTCTTCCCCCCGCTCCGCGCTCACAGAGCAAAGGGGGGGGGAGAGGGAGAGAGAGAAATAGTGCCTTGAGCAGATGGAAAGCAAAGGGAGGATGGGGAGATTCCTCCCGAATCTGGTCGGACACGGAGCGCAACAAGGGACAGAGCAGTGGGTGGCACTGCGTCTCCTCGGGTGGCGGGAGCAGGCGACGGCGGCACTCGAGAGTCGGAGGGAGACGAGTGGCTCGCTCCCGCGTCCTGCACCAAGCGCGCGCTGCCCGGGCTGGGAGTTTTCTGAGTTCCTGCCCCAGGATTCAAGTGGAATGAATGTGTGTGTGTGCTTGGGAAGGGGATGGCGGGGGGGAGGGAGTGCCCACCTCTAATCGTGGGCGGATAAAGGGGAGGGGGCTGCGCAGGAAGAACAGTATGAGGAGGAGGGAGGCCAGGCGGACCGCCGAGCCAAGGCGCCTGGCCACGGGCCAGAGGCAGTGTTCGAAATACAACTGCCGCGGCGGCGGCGGCGCCCGGGTGCCACCCGAAGCCAGGCTCACGTGCTCCCACCCGGCGGCGGGGTTAAAGGGACAGGCCAGTGATCCCAGGGAGGCTCGCAGTGGGCCACGCCCCACCCGCCGCCGGAGGTCACCCTTGGGAGGTTGTCCTGGAAAGGCGCGGGAATGTGACTGTCTCAGAGCCACGTTTCGGGACTCGGCCTTTACCTGCGCCTCCGCGGTGCGGAGCCAGCACTTTGCAGAAAGCATCAAACTGCACCGGCCGCAGCGTTCTAGTTCCTTATGAGAGGGAAGGGACTGCAGAGGAGTAGGAGAGCGCCCCTAACAGCCCTACTCCGCCTCGGAATGCCCTCACCAGAGAGCACGCCGGCGAGCGAGCGCGCGGCGCGCGCGCACACACACACACAGGCACGCAGATAAATACACACGTATGCACACACGCAGATGCACGTGCACATCGCGCACACATGCTCACTAGTAAACACATGTAAACATGCGCACTTACACGCATGCTGATAGACATGCACATTCGCAGACACGTGCAAACAATGTGCACTCACGCACGCGGGTCAGCTTCTTCACTGAACTTTTTTCCCGGGAAAGAATAGAGGTGACGCGCGAATTCCCCCCTGATTCTGACGTTCTCAGGGGAAAGGGACCTTGTAGATTCCTAACACCACAATTGCACCAACTGCGCAAATCTCCCTTCGATTTACCTCAATTTAACCTTCTCCCTAAGAACTCCCTTTCTGCCAAGTCCTAATTTTATAGCCTGAGCTGTTTCTGAGTTCTGTGAACACCATAATGGCCACAGTCCGTTTTTAAAAGGTAGAGAAATTTAAAAATGTACCTCTTTTCATCTTTGAATAACACAAAACGCTGAAAAAAATTAGGTTCAGATTTTCACACATCACACCCAAAATTATTTTGGACTAATTCCAAAATAAAAACTTTCACCTGGGGAAGAATTTTTTTTTTTTTTTCGGAAATACAGACCACCATGGAATAAAAACCTCCTCCTTTGCAGCCGTAAGCGGGGAGTTAGGCACCTCCACGTTCCGCTGTGCATGCGAAGGCGGCGCGGCGGCGCTGATTGGTCCGCGTTGCCATTTTAAATCCATTTCCAGCTGCCTTTTGCAGAGCTGGGACCCTTCGTTGCACGTTGAGTGCTCTGCAGGAACCCAGGGTTTCTCCTGGGCCTGGGAACACTTAGCTATGATGGAAAGGGAGAGCCCACATCCCACCGGATGGAGTCCAGCAGCCGACTGAGGAGGGAGGGGTCTAACAGGAACGAAAGGTTTTGTCAGAGCTTAGCAGAAAGATGGTATCTTCATCAAAGGGACTGAAATTTCACCTACCAACGACTGCAGTGACATTTCCTAATTGCCAAGTTTGCACATTTTTTTATGTGATCACATACTTGCACTGTGGCGTGCACATTTTACATACACATACAAAATGGGCTTCTGGGTTTGTTTTTGTTGCTTGCTTTTTGCTAGGGGGAGAGAGACATTCTGAGGATGAATGTAGGTGAAAGACTCTGAAGATTTCAGTCAGCCAGCTTTATACTGGGCACTTCATTATATCCTCAGATTTCTTTATTTATGTACACAGAGGTCGGCAAGAAGTGAATTCTAAAATTTTATTTCTGGATTAATCCTTGAATCTAAGAAACAGAAAAATTGGGGGTGGAGGGAATATCCAGCCACTTGTCTCAGGCTGCTATCATTTTCCTATCAGACTGACCCCTTTTGAATTTATAACAAGGAGAAAGTAAAACAAATGTTTCATCAAGTTCTGTCTAAATCAGTTTTATATTTTTTCGTTCTTTGGAAGCTATATTTAATTTTTTCAGGTTTCTGTAAATTTTTTTTGTAGGCGAGACATTAGAATTTGTTTTTATCTTTGAGATTATTGAGTCTTTTACTATAAAAAATGGTGTCCTTATATATTCTTTTTATAAGGTTAAGTAGGTTTTATTTTTTTAATTTAATTTTGCTTTTCAATTTTATTTTTAATTGATGCATAATAATTGTACATATTTATGGGTTACAGAGTAATATTTTGATACATGTACACACTGTGTGATGATCAAATCAGGATAATTAGTATATCTATCACCACAAACATTTATCATTTCTTTGTGATGAGAACATTTGAATTTCTCTCTTCTGGCCATTTGAAAATATACAATCAATTATTGTTAATTTTAGACACCTAGCACTGCTACTATAAGATACTAGAACTTGTTCTTCCTATCTAACCGTTCTTCTGTAATCATTAACCAATGTCTTCCTATTTCCCCTTCCCAGACTCTAGTAACCTCAGTTCTGCTCTCTACTTCTACGAACTCACTTTTTGTTTAGCTTCCACATATGAATAAGAACATGAACTTAGGTTAGACTTTATTTTTAAAGAAATATATTTTTATTTACATTTACGTTTGAGGGTTTTTCACCTGAGCTTAAGTTTCTCAATCATTCACTTCTTTATCTCACCACATTTTACACATCTATTCAAAGTTAAATTCTTCTTTCTAATTTGAAAACTTTCTAGGTGATTTCTGTCCACATTAAACTGTTTTTTTCATTTTCTGCACCTACTATAGAATTGAAAATTAGCACCTTGGCCGTATATGTTAACAAGGTCTCTAATTACCTGTGACACATAATGTAGATTAGTGTTTAAGTCACGTCAGTTCATTCGTGGGTGGTAAAATTAACTTAGTGGACCCAGAACATCATTTTAAAAAATAAATGGAATAGAATAGTGAATATCACATGTAAAATTTCTGTTTTAGCTATATAGTACATGTGTGTAAAAATTGTATTGATAGGTTTTTTTTTTTTTTTACCTTTTAACTTTTTGGAATTTGGGATGTATCTTAGAAATCAAGGCATCTTAGCGTTATTTTATCACATACTAGGTAGTGTCTTCTCTATTTAGTGGTATGCATAATACTGGTGTGCCTTATAATCAATGGCACAGTAAAATATATATGTACATGTGTGTGTGAGAGTATATATTCGATGTCTTACCATGGGTTACAGTGAAACATGTTTAAATGCCATTGACTTACTTATAGACCTGGGTTCTTTTACAACTTCACTAAACCAGGCTTGTGCTCTCTGTGATATTTGGGAAATCATTTCTCCGCTCTATCTCCGTACCCTCGTTTCCAAAACGGAAAATAAATATAATCTCTGAGGGTTCTTCCAGTCTAACAAGCTATAAAATATATACTGTATAATATCTTTCTTGTTTTCTGATTGTGTCATGTTTATATGTAAATTGCATGTGTGTTCCCTGGTGACAGGTGATATTTCTAACATCTCTTTTTTGCATCAGTTTTGTCTAGGTAAGGCTCAGTTCATAACAGACGTTTGGTACTTACTAATTTATTGCCATGACCAAGGTACTTATATAAAATTACTATTTTACAAAATGTACCACATAGGATGAGAAAAGCATTACATACATTAAAACATCTTCAAAATTCTTTTGACTAAAGGAAGATGCATCTGTGATGAAGAGATTGAGGTTCTCACATTGCACTTTATCACATTATAATTACACTTTAATACATTCACAAATTAAAGAATAATTTAAGGATTTTCTTAGATTGAATTAGTTAATTGAATTAATCATAGATGCATTTCATATGTAATTAAATGGCGATTTATTATAACTAATATTTATTGAACAGAATGCATAGCTTTTATATATGTGTGTACATGTACACATGTGTAGATATATGTAAACATATATACGTATATAGAAGCTCAGTATAGTACAAAGTAAACACATTCTTGCCTTCAAGGTCCTGCATTCTACTTTAGCTGAAAAACATTTCAAGTGTTTTAACATGAGCTCATTTGCACTGTTCAAACCCACAATTTTAAGACAGTGTCTCTTTAAATTTGCTTAGTATTTAATGAAATGTAAGACATTATCTCTAAGAGTTTCCCGACAGTGTCACCAAGACAAATACATGCTGTCAAGCTAGCTTTTGCTTTGTTTTGTTTTTGTTTTTTGTACAGTCTTTCTAGTCCTGTAGTGAGAGGAACACCAATGAATTTCAAATATGAAAACTTATTCATGCAACAAACATACATTGCGTTGGTTTTTCAGGAATCTCATCTATTATTCTCTCCAGACTCAAAAATGTAATTCATCTAGAACTACAGAGAATATCTTTTAAAACAGCTAGGTGCTCATTTAAAATCTATTTACCTATTATATTATGCCTTCTATTTACCCTTATAATTGTTTATTCTCCTCTATCCAACCCATCATTTATTTAACAGCTGTGTATTGAGCACTTAATATGTGCTGGATTCACAGAACACTCTTTTTGACAAAAGTAATGACAGCAGAATAGAAGTGGAAGAGTTTCATTTTCACCTCTCATCTATTGATGTTATATTGTCAGCCCAAGCAATCTCAGTCTCTATGTACCATCAAGCAGCTTTGCATAGCCAGAGGAACCTGGGCTTCGAAATTAGATTTAGGGATGGGAGGGGTAGTAGGCAGAATTCTAAAATGGCCCCCAAGATCCCCTTCCCCCCCCCCCACCGTGTACATGAGTACATAATCCCTGGGACTATGGTATACTGGATTTTACTCCTGTGATTAGGCTGTGTTATATGGCATAGTTGTCCATATAGGGAAATTGTCTAGAGGAGCCTAACTAATCATACGTGTTTAAAGCAGAGAGTTTCCTCTGACTCACCTTAGGAGATCAGCACAAGAAGAATTCGACTCACTATCGCCAGTTTGAAGAAGGAGGAGACATGTGGCAAGGAATGTG